TATTTTTTGAGGATTTCTTTCCCTTGTCTGACGCTCTGGGGGCTGAAAAGTGCTGGCATCCCCATTATGTGGACTCGTACTACTATCTCCACTCTACTGGTTTCCGCTCAATGGCGGACCTGATAATTGGGTTAGTGGGACAGTGCTTATGGTGCTATGGTGGGCGATGCAAGGCGAACCACGAAACTTTTGTAACTTTTTTGTTCTTTCTTTTCATGTTTGCCTTTTTAATTTTTCTATTTTTCCATCTTTCCCCTTGTGGCTATCATCTCCTACTCAATCACTAACTATCCTTCTGTTTCTGTTTTTGTTGGTTAACCTAACCTAAGTTAACTAAGTAGCAATGAAATTTGTTTTCAAAGAGTTTTTCCTCCAGCTTCTGTTCGCTTCAAGCTCCTGACTGAGGTTCTGGTTTCTCGTTCAACTTTCTGCTCTCTGCTGAACATGAGAAATACTATCTCTGTAACTGGCAATGCAATTTGAAAACTAATCCCCTGTCCATTCTAGTGCTATTCGTCGTGCCGTATGATGGATGGATGTCCAGCTGAGGCTTGGCGTCAGCTCTCCGCAGCTGACTAATCGATTCTGATTGGAAAGTTTTTATTTCTTCCAACCAACAACAACGACAACGTTGGAACTCGGGGAGACTTCAGGCAAACATCTAATCCGATCGAAAGACGCAGCCAATAAATACGCCGCTCGCTTCTCTTTTACTGCAATCGTCAATCTTCCATCCCTTATCTCTCCTATCTTCCATGCGATATGCTAGCCACCTCAATCCGCGGCCTCGGGGCCACTCCCTCCATGCGCCCAGCGGGAGCTCTCCACCGGCGAACTCCCCCGCCAATAACCACCCCACCGCACCCAAAAATACAAAACAACCGCCTCCTCTTTCCCGCCCTTCTTCACAGCAATGGCATGTCCATAGCCCATTTCTCCAGCACGCCCAGCCCCCTCAGACCCCCGCCAACAACCACGTCCGCCTCCGCAGCCTCGACCATCACAAATCCCGTAGTCATAACGTCCCCCCTTAACCCCCCAACAACAACCCTACCAGCTCCCATCTCCCTCCCATCCAAGGACCCTACAACAGCCAAACTAAAATACTACTACACCCTCGGCAAAGCCTATCTCACCTTCTACAAAACGGGCCTCAAAAACGTCTACCACAACTACCGCGCCTCGCTACCCCTGCGACGGCGTCTGGGCCTGAACTCCCTCCTCCCCACCTCCCCGCCGCCCCCCGTCTACTCAGTTAAACACGTCAACAACGCCCCCATTCTAAAACAGTACGCGGGCAAAGTCTCCCGCAGCGAGTTTCAGCTCATCCGTCGCGCGGCATACGATGTGCGGCGCATCCTTCCGTTCTCGGTTATCCTGCTGCTGTGCGGGGAGATGACGCCGTTTGTCGTGTTGGCGTTGGGGAACATGGTGACGCCGTTCACCTGTCGGGTGCCTAGGCAGGTGGAGAAGGAGAGGGTGAGGGCGTGCCAGAGGAAGGAGGCGGCTGTGATGGCGGCAGAGGTTGATAGTGCTGGCTATGGCAGTAGCAGGAAGGCAAGCGCTCTGGCCAATCTGGATGTATTGCTTAATGCGACCTCGATTCCGCATACGGTTGATGTGAACGAGCTAATTAACCGTGCGTCGACGACGGGGGTGTTAAGGGCCTGTGCCGTCTTCAGGCTTAGTCGCGGCCATGAGTTGCCTGCTGTTTCGTTCCTGCCGGGGTTTTTGAAGGCGGAGATTGTGAACCAGATATATCGCCCGAGGCTGAGGAGATGGATGAGTTATCTTGAGGTTGACGATTGGTTGATTACGCAGAATGGCGGCGTTGAGGGGATGAGTCCTGATGAGGTTAGGATTGCAGTGGAGGAGAGGGGGGGGGTGGATGTTTCGGTTGGGTTGGTGGGGGAGGAGGAGGCGGAGAGAGTTGAGAGGAGGTGGTTGGAGAATTGGGTCGAGGGGAGAGGTGGGGAGAAGATGGTCGAGAGGTAGAATGTGGAGTTGAAGGGGTGAGGGTGGCGGTGGATGGATGGACGGTTTATGGTATGCGGTTGGAAGGGATCTGACTGTATATTAGAGGAACATCCGGGCTTCTTCATTGACTTGTGGCTTTTTCTTACTTTTTTAGCACTTCTTCTTTTTCTTTTCTGTTCAGATATATGTATAACTAGATAATAGACACCGCCATTTAATCTACTCAATCTTCACGAGTGCAATGTCCTTCATGTTTCTATATCTCCATTGCCTTAGGTTGTGATGTCTCTCCGGAGATTTTTGTAGGCTGATTCCCTGGAGGTTTGGTGGAAATATGCTGTGCTCCATCTTGTTTAAATACCATTCATCAACGGTGTATAGCACATACGACCACAGGGAGTGGAAAACAGGGCTTCCCGTCCGCTCAGCCGTACTTAAGCCACTCGCCGGCCGGTTAGTAGTTGGGTGGGTGACCACCAGCGAATCCCGGCTGTCGTATGTTTTTTGTCCAAGTCCATCCTGGCAGGAATAACATGTTGTACGCACATTCTTTTGCAGATGCTCTTTGATTAGTGACAGATGAAGATAGAGAGATGCCTCAGAGCAGAGCAGAGCAGAGCAGAGCAGAGCAGAGCAGAGCAGAGCAGAGCAGAGCAGAGCAGAGCAGAGCAGAGCAGAGCAGAGCAGAGCAGATCCTCAAGTCCTCGAGACTTGGAGAATTTGGGATCTGTGTGGGATTACGATATCTTCGCCGAGCTCTAAACCGAATGACCTCATCAACCTTGGGAGTTACCATAGTTTATGATATGGCATGGGACTCAAAGTTGAGAAACTGTGGTTGCAACGACATTTGAATAGAAGTTTCAAGCATCCGAAAAGCTTTGAGAGATTTATACCTTCACAAGTAAATCAAAATGTGCTACTCTCTTCAGGTTGTATGAAGCTTAAATTTCAGAAAATGTTACATACGAGAGCTGATAACAATACATATATATATATATATATATAGATATATATATAATCACTGACACAGTTGAACTTCTCGCTGAGAAGAAGTGAGATCTAAAATGCCTGTTCAACGGTTGCAAGTGATAAAGATATATTAATCTCTTCTGAACCCAACTTTTACTGCCACAACGGGATGACAATACAGAATGATAATCCTAGTAAACATCTCTCCTTCCTCTCAGGTATTAATGAAGCCTCAAAAGATAGGGAATATTAATATACAAAGGTGAAGCAGAAATGGCCCTCATCCTGTGAGCATCAAGAAAGATGTACAAAACGAGTCTCCAACGGCAAAAGTACATTACAGTACCACGACCACCTGTACACGACCTCTAGAATACAGAGACTTGGATGCACCCAAATATATATAACAATAGGTATACCCGTGCCAAGGAAGCCATGTTTCAATGTCTTCCGTTACTGACAAAGAAGCCCGTTCTCAAATTTTCTCCGAAGGCCAACTCTCCATATGTGTTTTCACACCCTCGAGTGACCGTTGACAACAGGGCTCAACATCAGAATTTACTTCGTCGATAGGGACGTGTCCTGCCTGAGAAGCAGCAAGCAAGAGTTTATCTCGAAATCGTTCAAAGTCCTCATAATTCATGCCCAGAGCGAGACTAAGCAAGCTTGGGCTTGGTGGCTTCTCGCTTTTCTCAAGGCTGTTTTCATCTTGAAAAGAAATTCTTTCACGATCCGTTGGTACCTTGTCGTCATAATCCCAAGATTTCATTCGCGCTCTGAGATCGTCATACAGCGCCTGAAACAGCTGCTTCACTTCAGGGATAACTGAAGCCTTGCACCCGAGGTCATTCATGAAATCAGTCGGATCCTGAAGACTCAGCATACCCGCTCGCGGCAGGGATAAGGAGCGCTTGCCAATGCTACGTTGACCCCTTAAATAGGGCTCGTGCATCAGTAACCTCTTTCCTTTTTTATCCCGCATCTTCGAATCCATATTTTTCTCGAAAATGCCCGGAGGCTCGACGGAAACGCCGTACTTGGTGAAATCTGTATCTTTGTAAAATTCGAGGACGTGGAGAAATTGACTGCCTATGTTCCTGCGATGATACTTGCCCTCTTGGATTTTGAGAGCGGCAACAATCATCATGGTTAGGAGGTATGGATCGACACTGCTGGCGTCGCCGCCGAGGAAACCCCGTGTCTCCAGTAGCATACGTAGAACCATAAACAGAGGTCGAAGGGTTGGGAACTCTGCACGGTAGTTGAGGATGAAATCGGTGGAGGCGGGTGGGCTTGTGGCGCATTGGAATTGAACCTGCAAACCTGTGGCGGCGTGAACCGCGGACAAGGTTGGGTTTTTCTCCTTCCGTAACATAACTTTGGAAAGAGTTTTAGACTCTTTGAGTGCATCCTCAATCTGATGCAGGCGTTTGAGCCTGGCTTGAACCATCATTGGTCTCGTCGCGCTTGGGCCGCGACCGCCTTCCACTCTTTCAGGATCCTCAATGAGAATGACAAAGTCAACGGATGAGTGGGGTACCGCCATTCCTGTTCTTCGAGAACCGGTCAAAATGGGCAAATTCATTTCGTCAAATTTCAGGGATGCAATGGCATCCCTTTGAACTCTTCCGACAGCATCCCTTTCCTCCCGAGTTGGTAAGATGTATTTTTCAAATGCTGTGATTTCGTCACTGAGACGTGAAATACTTCCGCTCCCAGATTCTTCTAAATAGCTGAGCCAAGGGTACTCAGTCGATCGATGGTAGATCGTATCCTTTGTCCACAAAATATTCGGTTTCGTCGGGTCCATGGGCGAACTGTTGGGGGAGCGAATGGACAGGACGTCAAAACGAGTTTCGGCGCCACCATCCTCATTGAGAATTTGGTGAAGATCCGCTTCGCGCACTTCTTGTTCTTTAAGAGCCTCTGTGGGAACGAATCGATCTGGATTCAATTTGAGGCGAATCATCCCCGGATTCGCACTTTCTCGAGCAGGCAATTTTCGAATCAGAGTCTGGCGATTCGCAAATCTATGGGATCGTAGGGTCTCTTCGAGGCTGCTGGGGACGACCTCCGGCTGAGTCTTCCGCCGCCAGTGGCTTGAAGCATCGTGGTATCGTCGCCGGGCTCGCGGATATATCCATACATCTTTAGGGACCTCACCGACAATGAGGCATCGCATGCAGAGCGCTCTCGATTTGGTGGTTAAGGATGACAAAAACATATATATTCAGAGCTTACGGGACATTGGGATGGAAAGATATTTCGGGTTAATCGACTGGGTTTTATCAAGAGTGAGTAGATACATTGCAGACAATTCCTTTTAGCTAGAGAAGGACCTCAAATCATTCGATATTGCATGAAAACGAGTTTGGATGCTCCAAGACGAAGATAGACGTCGAACGAGGAAAGTAATTATCACGTAATTTAAGAGCTGAGGCTTAGTCACTCGTATTCACGTCTGTTGGGGCTTTTAAATTATTGTGTGCGTTTTTATGTATATTAAAAAATTTTACAATTAAAACTGAAAAAAGTTTATTGTATATTATATAATATTTATTATAATGATTAGTTAGTTATTTATGATAAAAAATTTAAAATTCAATATATAATTATTTATTTATCTTTATTTACTTTTTGTAATTTTTCTTTAATAAATTTATTTTTAGTTAAAAAAATAAAAATTATAATATCTTTATTTGATTCAATAGTTTTATTATATTAACTACATATTTAAAAATAAGAAATGATAATAAAATATTTATTCTTAATAAATAAATATCTTGAATCTTTCAGTTCCTTCTAAGAGAAATTCCCGAAACTGTGTTTGAAGCTAGAGCCTCGAATCATGCAACTATCTCTATCCACCTTGTCGTCAACCCCTATTCCCAGAGCTACTGGACTGACTCTCTCTGTGATTAACCTCCCATCGTATCTGCAGCCCGCTCCAAAGAATCTTTTGCCTCGTACTTCCACCAGCTCTAGCAACTCCCTATGGCGCCACTGAGTGGGTATAGAGAAAAGGCAATATCCAGTCCACGCACCCAGAGAATCTTTGTCCTGTCCCTTGATTGCTGCTGAGTAATTACAAAGAATAGATAATATTCTCTACCGCGCCGCCTGTCCAACAAGTGACGAGGTGCTGAGGCAAATATCAATGAGGATCAGGGAAAGGGATTGCCTGTGATGTATATGGAATTGGGTGAGCTGTGAATCAAATAAACAGCCGTCTTCAACCATGGTCCTTTGACAATAACCTCCTGTGAAGAGATTTGGAGATCAACTGCAAGTCTCATCATATGTTCTCTCTCAACACCAGGACTCGACTTGTACAAGCTTTTGAAAAGGATCAGAAGCATGAATAACCAGTGCATTCTCTTTTCTTAATTTTAACAGGCCAGGAAGTTGATTATACAACCTGGCCAATCAAAGATACAAAGAGAATCAAATGCAAAACTGAGGCATTCCATCCGCTTGCTGCAGACCAGAATTGTAGGGCTGAGGCAATAAGATTACCTGACAGAGAATGTAGAGACTACATTAAGTTGATGAGAGATGTGACCCAGTTATTGTGTTTGAACTGAAAAAAAAAAACAAGTTCCAACTTGTGAGTTAAATCTCATCTTTCACATGAACTATTAACCAACAACAATCATTAGGAGTGAATATTGCTCGGATGATAGACCATGACAGTTGAAACAACAGATGCCACGGCTACATCCAACAGCATGATCCTGTTCCTTGGTTCTGGGAACTAATGTCACTGAACCCCACCAACAATAACAACCCAAGTGGCAATCCCGATGCATTCTTATTGAGCTTGCCTATGATTCGATGCAATCTGAGCCGACGTCAGCGGGTGCTCTCATGCATCAATTCCCGCAAGGTCAACAGCACCCAGATGATCGCGAATCAGTTAACCTGTCTGTTGAGGAAGATATGGACCCGACAGCTTTTGTCCAGATGTTCACAGAATCAGATTACAGTATCATGTTAACAGAGGTTTTATTGAGGAAAAAAAATGAATGTTCGAAGCCCTGTAACTATCCCGCACAGACAGTTTAATTTTTTGTCCCCAGCAGTACATGCAACTGTTCCAAGCATTGGTTTCATTCTACCTTAAGTCCAACTACCCATACCACCATTTCAGCATTTGCACAATCTCTAAATTCCATACAGAATATACGGATAACAAAGATTCATTTCAGCTTGTCATCATCAGACATTGAAAACGCTTCTGGCACTGAGATAACGAGAAAGTCCAATTGCGCATCGATGTCCTGATCACTTGTAAACCGCGCGAATTTCCCTGGCTCCAAGCGTACGCCATGGATGTCTACAGCTCCCAGTAGTGGAAAGAAAAAATTGTGGACCCCCGGTCCTTTTTGAATCGTCATGCATCCGGAAATTCTGTAGAGCGTAAATTTGCAGCCCTAGTGCAAAATAGTTAGCAACACACCGCGAATGAGTCAAGGGTCGGAGGCGTATCTACATCTTTGTCCACATTCAACTTGGTTAGCAGTGGATTGATCTTCTGAAATTTTGCTATATCAACACAGCGCCAAGTGCTTTCTCCCTGAGCTACCATTTCTGCCGTCCGTAACCACACTGCTAACTCGTCCAAATCTCTTTTAGCATCACTATCAAGCGTTGAAAGGAATCCACTTGAATCGTTTGATTCCGTAGCATCTTTATCGGTGGCCATGTTGATGATGGTGTAGGATGAGTAATGAGAGAATGAAACAGTGCGTGCCCCCTCTCGAGTAAGGATGCTGTCTAATCAAAAACCTGTTAATATGTTCCTGGAGATGCTAAGGCAGAATTATAACTCATATCTGTGACAAGAAATAGATGAATTTGCGGCAATAGATAGCAAAAGGGAAAGAAGAGATAAAAAAAAAAATAAAGAAAAAAAAAAAAGGAAAAGGATTTGGCGGGGCATGTTGGGCGCTCCAAATGATGCCTTTATGCATGAGTGATCGGCAAAGTGAATGAGTAGCCCCTCAGCCCGACTCGTTATGTAATCCAGATCGGCGTTCAGCTGGTCAGTTAGTAATTCGCGGCCTTCCAAGCAGTTTGTGACCGAATGGCAGGGGCTTGATCGATTGCAAAGGCTGCTAACTACCAGAACGACTCTATACTGGGGGGGTGGGGGGGGGCAATATGGGAAAGAAATATGGGAAATATGACACGTGACGGGAGGGTTCGACATATCCGTCGTATTGTTTCTTCTTCGTTGACTTCCGGGCCGTCCCTTTCAACTCTCGCAAACGGCCGGGAGGTTAGACAGCAGCTCCACTGGGTGGTCAGCTTTCAAATTTGGGCTCGGGAGCCTAATCCAAGCAGGCATGCTAGGCATCGGTCAGCATCTCTTTGTAGGACTATCTTTTTAAGTATAGGTACTCTGTTTCTTACCAGGCAAACATTATGATTTCGAAACAAAACACCACAATCATTAACAAGCTCAGTCTGAGCGCCACAACAACCTCAGGATTTTTTTTTCCCCTTGAGGCTGTCTTTTTAACAATTCTGCAATAAAGCCCTTTCTACACGAGGTAATAATATCTCGTGGCCTGGCCTATGTACCGTTGACCTTGTTCTCACAGGCATCCTAGGTTCAAGATGTGCTGGCAGATGCACGAAACTCCTGCTCGTTTCGCCAATTGCACCGGAAAGGCTCAGAGGGATTCTATCATTTTCGATCCGATGGAAGACTGCACCCAAAGGTGTAATCCCGCCAGCGAAAAGAAATAGCAGATGCGAACATCCGACCTCAACCAGCCAGGCGAGCTCTACCAAGCGCAAAGCAAACTGTACACGACACCGAACCATACGCACAACCACAACTGCCACCGAAAGACGACGAAGCCGCGGGGCGGTGGAAGTGGATCAGCTCAACAGCAAGGGGTGCTACCACATTCTCAATTCTCAGCAAATGCTGGCTGGGCAGCTAATCCTTGTTTATTCAAATCTAGAACTCCATTGGACTAGCAGATTTCCCTTCAGACTCTGTCAATTGATGTGAATTTGCATGTAGATTCATTCATGCAGTCTGTCCCTTCATTCTGCAAAGCAGAGTAGTAGAGTTTGAAACATCAAGTAAGTGTGCAGCTTCATGAATTGAGAGTTTTTCTTGATTTTTAAAAGCTTTTATCCACAAGTTCAATTTTTTTTTTCCTTCCCCTCTCTCCCTAGAGAATTTGATGACTTGTTATTGTGAATTGGTGGCATAATTGCGCGTTGAAGTGGGGGAGTAGTTAAATTGGTAGTTGAATGGTTTGGTTGATTCTGGATTACATTAGTTTATTAGTTAATTAACTATGTTAACTATTATTATTATTATTATTACTTATTTAACGCCTGGAGGCACGTGATCAGCTGACTAAGAATAGTCTGCCGTCGCGGCCACAGCACCTCCCTAAGGGTATCAGGCGTGCCAGCGCAGCAGCTAGTCTGCTGCCTGACATGTCTAGTCGGCCGAAGCCCTCTTGAGAGTCTATGTACAGAGTAGCCCCCGTCCTGGAGGTTCTGAATGGCGTAGTAGCCGAAGATTACGGGACTGAGGAAGCCAAGGGCTTCTAGGGTGGTGTGTAGGGGTGATGAGAAATGTATATAAGGAGCATAGGAAAGAGAGAGGGGGAGGGAGAAGTCGGATGTTGAACAGGTTCTAGTAGCGGCGTTGGATGTCGATGAAGAAGCGGGTATTAGTGCACCAGGTAGAGAAGGTCGTAGCTCCTCTTACTGTGCTGAGAAGCCAGTCAATTGCTTCCTTTGGTCCTCGGCATGCTTCAGGGGTTTTAATTCGTTCAATGTTCCGGCCTTTCCAGCAAAAGAAGAAGTGCTCGGGGGTCTTATCTCGGCCGCAAGAGCAGGTGAGGAGTGCGTCGTCATGTGCCCATCTGTGATGATAGGCTGCAAAGTCACCGTGGCCTGTTCTAGCTGCCAGCAGGTGGCCTAGGTTTCTTCGGGGGAGAGTGAGCTCAGGGGAGGGTCCTTTTGGCATTGGGATATTGAGGTCCTTGTATCGTGATGTGCTATTGGAGCTCCAGTATTGTTGCAATGAGGCATTGAAGCGTTCTTTAGCATAGGATTTGGCCCGCGCCAGGGTCAGAGTGCGGCG